GGGAGTGTTGTTCCCTTGGATGTATATATCTTGTATCTGTGTTAAAAATAAAGTAGTCTGTTTCCCTGTTTACTTCAAGATTGGTGTCGTCTAGTCTTGTATGGTCTGCTGTGGTGTCTGTGGTCGGTGTTCGGACAGGGAAGCGAAGCGGTATCCTAACGGAAGTGCCCAAGTGCAGTCTGGGGACGGTTCCATTACACTGTGTGTATATATGTGTATATATATATATATATACATATATACTGTATATGGAAACAAATATACAACGTGGAGGTACAAAACAGGTACAATATAGGTATAAGATAACAATGTGTAACAAATTAACGGAGCAAACTTAAGCACTGTGACTGGACAGAACACTGCATGTGAGGCCGGAGAACCTGTGGGGGCCTTCATCCGCTGAGAGGGAGACTGCCAGGACCTGCTGGAAGCCACCGATCGGGTGAGAGAGTCCCATACACTAGATAAGTGAGGAAGCACTGACATTCTCCTCATACCTGCTACTTTCCTGCACACAGTTGTGGACATTGCATTCAGTTGACACGTGTTTTGGCCTAGCTCCCATAGCCGCTACTATTGAACACATTTGCAGCACAGAGCTGACCACAGCGCGTGCCCTTCTGCAGGCCAGATCAAATCAGTGCTCCCTGAACCATTGGCCCACCCTCCTAAAGGAACTTCTACCAATGTTGCCATTGGTCACTGCATCCCAGAGTGGAGTTGTCCTTTTGTCAACAAGGATATTTGCAATTTTGACATCTTATTTGCCAAAAAGCTGATCTTTTCCCAGTGAGTATTGTCTCCCATTAGAGGAGACAATACCCAAGTCAAGTGTAACTTAAAGGAAAAGTCCTTGTCCTTTCTTCTACCTCCCCCTTTGAATTAATCCTGTCAAAAACTATCACCTACATTACTGTCTATTTTTGCACCAACTGGGCCCCAGCAAGTGCGCAGAAGAACCCTCACTGCATTTAAAGGGACATTGACTACCCTGGTAAAATAGCTCTTTTACCTCAGATTTAAACCTTGCCATCAGATTCGGAGGACCAAAAGTGAGCTAGTCCAATTGTTGATAGTTCTTATTGCTAACTGGGGTTGACACCACCTCAGGTCGAAGGTATCGGGTTAACTTCTGAAGAGCAGCCCTGCTAACACTGATTGAGGTTCTTCTGTATGTATTGTTTCTCTGCTTAGAGTTGCTAGAAGTAATTATTGCCATTCCAAGTGTCAATACCATTTTGTACTGTTCAACCAAGATTACATTGGAGTCTAATATAAACCTCATATCGGTTTACTCTGTGTGTGAGTTTACTTTCTGGTGATTATTTACTCTGGTCAAAGGAATCCAGTGGTGTCAGCAGGCTTTTGGCTTTCAAAGAGCGGTCCAGAATGACAGGGAGCTCCCGAAAATAACTCAGTGACTCTTAAGGGGGTATTGCTGCATTAGTATGGGTATCATTGAGAATGGAAGTCAGATATTTGTGCATCATGGCACCCAGGGGGTGTTGCTTGGCCTAAGCAAAGGGTATCGATGGTTGTTCCAAGGCTTTGCCAGGCCGCCAGGAAGACGTATCCCACCAGCATCCATTCATATTTGTTTTTAGATGTGGAATGGGCTTGTGCAGGAGTGCTTCACAAGGGTTTAGAGTGAGGGTAGTATGGAGGCCCAAATGTAGTAGGTCATACTTTCCGATTAACATGACCCTGCCAATTAGGGATTCTGGTCAGTGCCACTGCTTTAAAAGAGGTGTAAACATTGGAAGGACTCAGCCCACCCTCTGCTTTGGGTTTGGTGGTAATATGCTATACAAATAGATGGCAATCACCATATTAGCCTTTGCAATAGGGTGCACATGGAAGGGCAATGCACACCACAAACAAACTAATTTCCTAGCAAACCTACCTGCTAGCTTGCAAACAAACCAAGTGGACCGTGTGTAACAATTCACATTAAAAGAGAAGGTTTCATTGCACACATTTGCAAATATATGTGGAAGCCGCAGTGCCCAAACCAAGGCACCTCTGTATACTGCAGTCCTAACTCTATAGTTTTGAGAGCCTCCAAATGTCAGATGCAGCAAGGCGCATATACTAGCAATGCACTACGTTTTGGTGATCTGTCAATAACCAGCAGTGTGGTCAGAGGCGAATTTACCACCTAAGGCATTTGCCTAGGGCGGAATTTTTTAGGGGGGCAGCCAGGGGTGCACTGACAACTCATGGGGCCCCCAGGCAATAGGGGAGCATGGGACCCCTGTGTCCTTGTCCAAACTCAAAAAAAGCCTATGAAAAAGGTACCAGGGGCATCTCATGGGGCCCCCTACTGACCCCGGGCAGTCGGGCAGTGCCAGAGTTTCCAATCGGTCAGTCTGCCTCCTGGAAGAAAGGACATATGCAGCATGGGGACCAGGTGGGATCTGAGAGAGTCTGTGGGCTGCTTGATGGTGTATGCAAAGCCCAACTGTCATTCCCAGGGATGTCCAGAGCTGAAAAGGTCTTTCTCTCTGTCGCTGGGGGGGGTGGGGGTTAGTGAAAGGCTCTCTCGGGTGGGGGGGGGGGGGGGGATGATTTTGCAGGGGTGTTGCTGGTCACTGTCAGGCTCTCTCCATGGAAGGGGGGGGGGGGGGTCTGCTGTTGGTTGGTGTCAGGCTCTCTATGCCGGGGAGGAGGGGTGTCCGATTTTTGTATTGCCTAGGGCAGCATGAAACCTAAATACACCACTGAGTGTGGTACATCCTGGCCTTTTAGACCCCAGCACTGCAGGATTTCATGGTAAAGTGGCGAGCACCAGCAGTGCAGTACAAGCTGGAGAGGTGGCCAGCACTAGCAGCTTAACCTCCCTGGCGGTATGATTCCTTCTGATTTTTTGTGCTGAAAGTGGTACCATTTTTTCGCATGGAAATAGTTTTTTTATTGTAGGCTGTAATTTTTAGGAAAATTTCCCCACAAATCATTATCACTCAATTCTGTAAGTGGTTCTGATTTACTATCGCTGTTCTCTAGCCGGTTTAAAAACCCGCTTTTGACGTAAAGGGACGCTTTTTGGACGCCATGGACTTTTCTAAGTTTCCAGGCAGAAAGAACAGACAAAATGCAGGCAGGGCGCCGGACAAAGCACTCGGGACAAAATGTATGTGAAATGGGATGAAACAGCAATGTTTTACTATTTAAAATTGAAAAAAAAAAAAAAGACATTTTTTAAATTTTTTAAATTTCCCGCCGCCGGCGGCGGCGGCGCCCGTACGTCCCGACTTCACGGGAACCGGAACACAGAAGCCGGATGCCGGCATCGGCGGAGGAGATGGCCGGGGACGCTGCAGGGGACACATCGCGGGAGCGAAGGACAAGGTAAGTGCTGCAGGGACCCCCAGATCAGTGCCGCATGGTAAGCCTGAGTGTAGCTCGGGGTTACCGCTTGTGGTATAGAAATTCTACCCCGAGCTACACTCGGGAAAACCGCCAGGGAGGTTAAAGCAACCGCATCCACCAAGAATTCAAGCACAGGCCCACAGAGCCTATAGTAGCCTTCCAAAAGTATAGAACTACCCCCTTAGGAGTTGCTAAGTTTTTTGGCCCCCCTACAGTCATTCACAGCCAGGCAACACGCATTTTCTTCCTCCACACTTGCACACAGAGACAGTAACCAGTCCTGTAAAAATATATAAATATGAAAATCAATAAACACAAAACTAACAAGTAAAAACTAAAGAAAAAAAAATTAGGTGTCCGGGAGTCTGCCACTCTGGGGCCACCTGGGCTGGGAACTTTCAGATAGATTATACTGGAGGAGCTGAAGCACAAAGAGCTTTGAAAAAGTGGGGCTCAGACCACTGGACAGGGGGGTGGCTATGATGTACCTTTTCTTTCAGCCAATGCCCATTGCCATCTGACACTGCGCTGTCCAGCCACTGTACAAGATTTATGGCGATTGTCTCTCAAGTAAATCTCATAATAATTTCTAAACAATCACTGCCTTGTCTCTACCTGTTATATTGCAGCCTAACCAAGCTTTTTACATACTGTCCAGCCACTGAAGAAATGCGTTTTTATTACAAAATATATGAAAATTATTTTTAAAAATACATTTCAAATAAACTGTATGTCTTTAACCCCTCGCCTACAGGGCACTTCTACCCCCTTCCTGCCTACAGGGCACTTCTACCCCCTTCCTGCCTATTGGGCACTTCTACCCCCTTCCTGCCTACCGGGCACTTCTACCCCTTCCTGCCTACAGGGCACTTCTACCCCCTTCCTGCCTACAGGGCACTTCTACCCCCTTCCTGCCTATTGGGCACTTCTACCCCCTTCCTGCCTACCGGGCACTTCTACCCCCTTCCTGCCTACAGGGCACTTCTACCCCCTTCCTGCCCACAGGACACTTCTACCCCCTTCCTGCCTACCGGGCACTTCTACCCCCCTTCCTGCCTACCGGGCACTTATACCCCCTTCCTTACCAGGCCAATTTTCAGCTTTCAGCGCTGCCGCACTTTGATTGACAATTGCGCGGTCATGCAACATTGTACCCATATGAAATTTTGATCATTTTTTTCTCACAAATAGAGATTTCTTTTGGTGGTATTTAATCGACACTGGGCGCTTTACTTTTTGCGCTATAAATAAAAAAAGTGCAAAAAATTTGAAAAAAAAAAATTTTCTTTGTTTCTATTATAAAATTTTTCAAACAGGTATTTTTTCTCCTTCACTGATGTGCGTTGATGAGGCAGCACTGATGGGCACTGATAGGCGGCACTGATGGGCACTGATAGGCAGTACTAATGAGGTGGCACGGATAGGCGGCACTGATAGACAGCACTAATGAGGTGTCACGGATAGGTGGCACTAATATGCAGCACTGATAGGCGGCACTGATGATGGGTACTGATAGACGGCACTGACTGGCATCACTGCTGGGCACTGACTGGTGGCACTGACTGGCAGCACTGCTGGGCTGCACTGGTGGGTGGCACTGGTGGGCAGCACTTGTGGGTGGGCACAGGTGGGTGGGCACAGGTGGGTGGCACTGGTGGGCACAGGTGGGTGGACACAGGTGGGTGGCACTTCTGGGCACAGGTAGGTGGCACTTCTGGGCACAGGTGTGTGACACTGCAGAGTGGCACAGGTGGGTGCACTTCTGGGCACAGGTGGGTGCACTGCTGGGCACAGGTGGGTGCACTGCTGGGCACAGGTGGGCGGAACTTGCGGGTGGCACTGCTGGGCACCGATCATCAGGGCACTGATCATCAGTGTCCTGATGATCGGTGCTGATCCCCGCTGTGACAACTGCCGGTTCTCGGCAGTACTTTCCTCACGATCTGACAGCGTGAGGAAAGTGCAGCCGAGAACCGGCATTTGAATTTCCTGGTGATCAGCGTGTCATTGGACACGGCTGATCACGTGGTAAAAGGCCGCTGGGATCGGCCTTTTACCACATCTCGTGATCAGCTGTGTCCGTAGGACACAGCGATCACGGAGATCGCCGGTGCGCACCCCCTGGGGCGCGCAGGAGAGCGCGTTCTGGGGGGACATCATATGACGTCCACTCAGAACTGGCCGGCCGCAGTGAAGCTGCCATTCGACTATCTGCGGTCGGCAACTTGTTAAAAACATTCTTCAGATTTTTTTTTAACATATACTAAAGTCATGTTTACATATATTTGAAAAAGTATTTTTAAAATATTTTTCATCTATTTTGTAATAAAAACACATTTCTACATGCAGTATATATATATATATATATATATTTATTGAAATATATTTTGAAGAAAATTGAATATGGCCAAAATTGTAGTATTTCAATTATATGTCAATATATTTGGGAAGAAAATTTTTTTAAAAATATATTTAAAATATACTTTTCTTCCATGTGGGGTGTGAAGCCATACACTGGGCATAATAGTACAGGGCTGCTTTCACACTGTCTGCTGCGGTTTCCCCACAACGCAGGTGCAATGCAGTGTACCTGCAGCTTTCCTGCAGGTTAGCTGTGCTTATCCATAGATGTCTATTATATCCTGCAGGTTTGGTGCGCTTTCAGAAAGCGCACCAAAACTCCTAAATGCAAGAGCCCCCCCAAAAAAACAACTAAATTTACCTACAGACACCTATACTACCTAACCAAGTAAATGCTACATTTGCCAAATGATTCAGCTGCATAGTTTTACCAGCCCCCAATTTCACATGTGAATGAGCTCTAAGGGAGCCGCTGCTGAATGCAACTAAGGGCTCATTCACAGGTGCAGCAGGCACTACCGCTCCTCTGAAAAGTGATCCAAGTGTGTTTGAAAGGTGCTGGGGAGGCGATATGTTGCAATATGGTAGTACGGCAATTAGAGGTTTAAAAACAGGTGTGAGGAGGCGACTCTGTGCCCGATGATCTTTGACTTGTTGTCCAGGTATATCTCCACTTCTTTAAGGTTGCCTATCACTGCACTAGATCAATGGTACTTCATCATACTTCATCATACATCATCATACATCATCATACATCATCATACTTCATCATACTTCATCATACTTTATCATACTTCATCATACTTTATCATACTTTATCATACTTTATCATACTTGGGAATGTGAAATGACAGCATACAGGATATAATAAAATATTGTGTAAACTTGGTGCTTACAGGAACATAATAGCCAAAAGAATTTAGCCAAGTGCAATGTATGTCATAGATGTACCGTTAGAATTGTATGGAAGGCTTTATAAATGGTCCAGCTTCTGCCCATTTAGAAAAATGTAGGATATAAATGTGGATATGTAAAGAAAGTTAAAAACGGGAAAAAGAAAAGATGGGAAAGGAAAAGAAAAGGAAGAAAAATGGAAAGGAAAGGAAAAGAAAAGAGGAAAGGAAAAGGGGAAATGAAAGGAAAGGAAAAGGGAAAAAGGAAAAGAAAAAAAAAAAAAAAAAGGAAAGGAAAAATTGAAAAGAAAAAAGAAAAGGAAAGAAAAAAAGGAAAATGGAAAATAAAATGAAAGAAAAGAAAAAAGGAAACGGAAAAGGGAAACACGAAAGGAAAGGGGAAAAGGGAAAATGAAAAGGGAAAAGAAAAGGAAAATAAAAAAAAGGGAAAAAGGCGAAAGGAAAAGAAAAAAGAAAAATGGAAAAGGAAGGACAGGAAAAGAAAAAGGAAAAGAAAAATGGAAAAGAGAAGGACAGGAAAGAAAAAAGGAAAAGTAAAGGAAAAGCAAAAGAAAAGGAAAAGGGAAAAGAAGAAAAAGAGTAAAATGGAAAAAAAAAAAAAAGGAAAAAAAAAAGGGAAAGGAAATGTAAAGAAAAGGGGAAAAGGAAAAGAAAAGGGAAAAGAAAAAAAAGAAAGGAAAAGGGAAAAGAAAAGGAAAGGAAAAGAAAAAAAAGGTAAAGGGAAAAGGAAATGAAAGAAAACAAAAAGGGAAAAGGAAATGAAAGAAAACAAAAAGGGAAACAGAAAGGAAAGGGAAAGGGGAAAGGAGAGGGAAAAGGAAAGGGGAAATGAAAAGGGGGCAAAGGAATGGAAAAAAAAGGAAAAGGACAGGAAAGGAAAGAGAAAGGGAAAAGAAAAGGAATGGAGAGGGGAAAGGAAAGGGAAATGAAAAGGGAAAAGAAAAGGAAAGGAAAAGAAAAAAAAAGGGTAAAGGGCAGGAAAGGAAAGAAAAAGTGAAAATTAAAGTGAAAGGGCAAAGGAAAGGAAAGGAAAAATGGAAAAGCAAAGAAACAGGAAAGAAAAATGGAAAAGGAAATGAAAGGAAACTAAAAGGGAAACAAGAAAAAGGGAAAAGGAAAGGAAAGAAGAAGGGGGAAAAGGAAAGGGAAATGAAAAGGAAAGGAAAAGAAAAAAAGGTAAAGGGAAAAGGAAAGGAGAGGAAAAAGGAAAGGAAAAGGGAAATGAAAAGGGAAAAGAAAAGGAAAGGTAAAGGGAAAAGAAAAAAGGAAAAGGACAGGAAAGGAAAGAAAAAGGGAAAATGAAAGGAAAAAGGGCAAAGGAAAGGAAAAGAAAAATGGAAAAGCAAAGGACAAGAAAGGAAAATGGAAAAGCAAATGAAAGGAAACTAAAAGGAAAAGGGAAACAGACAGGAAAGGAAAGGAAAGTAAAAAGGGACAAGGAAAGGAGAGGGGGAAAGGAAAGGGAAATGAAAAAGGAAAAGAAAAGGAAAGGAGAAGAAAAAAAGGTACAGAGGAAAGGAAAGGGAAAGGAAAAGGACAGGAAAGGAAAGAAAAAGGGAAAATGAAAGGAGAAGGGAAAGGAAATGAAAAGGGAAAAGAAAAGGAAAGGAAAAGAAAAAAAGGTAAAGGGAACAGGAAAGGAGAGGGAAAAAGGAAAAGGACAGGAATGGAAAGAAAATGGGAACATGAAAGGAAAAGGGAAAGGAAAGGAAAAGAAAAATGGAAAAGCAAAGGAAAGGAAAGAAAAGGAAAAGGAAAAGGAAAAGGAAAAGGAAAAGGAAAAGGAAAGGAAAGGAATGAAAAAAGGTTAAAGGAAAAGGGAAAGGAAAGAGAGAGCATATGGAAGCATTCCATCCCTACAACACAGCGGTCCTCCTGAATAAATGTGGAGGAGTTTTTAAAGTAAAATTTTGAAAACAATAAAGTTATAAAGAGACAAATTCAGACTCGGACATTAAACAACTCCCGGGATATGACACGTTACAATTTTCACATTGAACCAAATACACAGAAAACCCCTCTTCCCGCTGCGTTGTGTCTGTTCCTCCAGTCCTGGCTCCCCTCTTATATATACTCTTCAGCCTCTTTCAATTTCTGTTCCTCGGAACTTTTCCCAGCAGAATTTCTCGTACTTCTGGCAGTAACACTGAGCTCATATCTGTCCACAAGCAGAGAATACAAGGAGTGCTACACATCCAGGGTAATCCTGACTGATTGGCTGAGCTCAGGGCAGCTCCAGGCAATGTATATACTGGTGAAAACAAAAAAAGAAAAAAATAGTGAAGCGCTTATATCTCATAAATAAATAAAATAAAGTGCATTCAAAAAAGAATTAATAAAAATGAATTAGTATAAATCTGATACTCCTGTGTGACGAATCTATATAATAAACACTAATACCTCCCTCTGGTGGGAGAACAAAATAGTGCAACCGAATGTAATTAAGCTTTAGTGATTCAACACACACTATAAAAAAAAACGTATTATACCGCGCATATAACAAATATCTATACATAACCAAATGTGAATAAATTAGTGAATATAAAATTAATTATTCACATAAAATAGTGCCAAATTCATACACATTTCATATACATCATAAGTGAAAAAGAAGAAATGTCCATGCATGTGACTCTGTGCTTTTAGAAAACACAGGTGATCTCCACTTCTAGGTGCAAATAATCTCCTCCAAATGGCAGCAATGCCTGCTCACCTCCCCTCCTTGACCCGCACAGGGCCCCAAAGCAGTTTCCACCTCAGTGGTGTATCTCCTCCGGCAGACTCCTTATTCCTCCTCCTCTCTTATTCAGACTCATAGAAAGACATAAAACTTTCCATAGTGTAGTATATTTATTAAGAAAAGGGTAAAACACCACAAATAATTCCACTCACGTGGTCCTCTTGGTTAACAAGCGTTTTTACCACAACCTATGGGTAAATCTGCATGGGGAATCCAATATGGCGTCCGGACGTGCGTCACCAGGAATAACGAAGTGTTTATTATATAGATTTGTCACACAGGAGTATCAGATTTATATGAATTCATTTTTATTCATTCTTTTTTGAATGCACTTTATTTTATTTATTTATGAGATATAAGCGCTTCACTATTTTTTTTTCTTTTTTGTTTGCACTTGTTGGTCTTAGTTAAGTGACAGCAGCTAAATTATAGTAATTATTCCATCGAGCGCAAGAGGATCCTTTACACTTTAACCATTTCAATACCGGGCACTTTTACACCTTCCTGCCCAGGCCAGTTTTCAGGTTTCAGCGCTCTCACACTTTGAATGACAATTGCGCGGTCATACAACATTGTACCCAAACTGAAATTTTATTATTTTCCTCACACAACTAGAGCTTTCTTTTGGTGGTATTTAATCACCGCTGGGTTTTTATTTTTTGCTAAATTAACAAAAAAAGACCAAAAATTTTGAAAAAAAAACACATTTTCTTTGTTTCTGTTATAAAAGTTTACAAATAAATAATTCATAAATTTAGGCCGAGATGTATTCTGCTCCATGTCTTTGGTGAAAATAACCCAAATTAGGATGTATTATTTAGTCTGTAGGAATTATAGAGTTCACAAACTATGATATAGATCTGAAAATTGATCAATCCTGAAGTACTGACAGCCAATCTAATTTCTTGAGGTCCAAGAATGTCAGAACAGTACAGATATCCCCCAAATGACCCCTTTTTGCAGAGTAGACA